TCTGTATCACCTGTTTAGAGCTCGGTGCTGGGTAGAAACCTGTGATGAGCTAAGTTGAGGAGATATGGGGATGAGAGAGGGCATGTTTATTCCTCAGCTTCTCTCAGGACCCACAGAGTTCTGACCAGTTAGGAGCCAGATCACAGAGGGCCTTAGAGACCATGTTAAGAGGTTTTGGATTTTATCTAACAGGTCAAATAACTGTTACTGGAATGACTCATCAAGAAGAGAAGATATTAAAGAGGAATATTATTTCCGATATAATATCGAACTTATAGGTTACTAAAGCAAATACTTTAGAACAGTCTCAGCATGTTCTGACTAGAACAAAGTCTTCGTGATGGCTTCCAGTCAAGCATAGCTACATATTTCATTTAGACATTTCTAGAATGAAAACAGAGAGGGAATTTTTAAGAGGCCTTACACTCTATCTCCCCAACCATTCCTTTAAGTATAAATTTTGATAAGTATAATGTACAGAAAATAAACATCCAAATAGACTCATTTGATTAGATGGCTTTTCTTTCTAGAAATTATGGAAACAGGATATTTTATTTGATCTTGGGAGACAATGTTACTGAAAGTTTTTGTTAAGGCTAATAAAAAGAAAACTCAATAGATACATTTAAAAAAGAAGATATTTATGGCAAATTAAAGGATATTTATTTTACCCCTAAACCACAATGGACCCACTTATAAGACACCCCCTGAAGGGATTCATACCCACCTCTCAAGTTCTACCTCATAAACCACAATGGACCCACTTACAAGACACCCTCTGAAGGGATCCGTACCCACCTCTCAAGTTCTACCTCCCAGAAGATATTTATGGCAAATTAAAGGATATTTATTTTACCCCTAAACCACAATGGACCCACTTATAAGACACCCCCTGAAGGGATTCATACCCACCTCTCAAGTTCTACCTCACCCCCCACCGCACAGCAGTGGGAAGATATACCAGAAACCCTGGATGGAAAAATTTTCAGAAAGCCAAAATCCTAAGGACAGGGAGGAACTCTTCAAAAGCTTAAGTCAAATGCTATGAAATGTGCTTAATAAACTGCCAGCCTGGGAGGTCACAAGTTAAACAACCTTACAACTAAATTCCCTTTCTATGGAAATTTAAAAATATAAATTCACAAGTCAACCCGATACACAGATGCAGGGGGGGAAAAAAAGAAGAAAAAAAAGAAAAACTGGGTAATTGTTCCTAGAATTTTGCATTTGAAAATTTATCTTACCTTGTAATTTCAAGTTTAAACATTTTTTGCCTGTTTTCATTTTCAGCTATGAAAACACATCTTAATGTCTAGATCTGGAAAGAAAAGCTGTTATTTTTATTTTAAAGCTTGCAAAACAATATGCTTTCCTAGGGATTCATTCCCATCTTGTGTACTTTTGGATATATCCACCGGAGATCCTTTTCAAGCATATTATGTTTATACTATGATCAATATACTATACTTACCACACTATGCACATACTGTACCATACTTACCATAGTATAAACATAAAGGCTTGCTTGCATTTAATTAGAGAACCCCGTGACCCCACTACCACTCTGTCATTTAGATTCGACATCCCAGTCAGAGCGCTGGTATTTTTCTTCATCCCTTCAACTACTTGATCCAATCAGTTCTTAATAAATGGAGATCCTATACCTATAAGGATTCCATTCACAACTCTCCATTCTAAATTTCAGGCCCTCATTTTTCTCTCAATGATTTCCTTCTCTTTTAAACCATCCTACACAACATCCTACCCTATGTGATACCCCAACTTTGTGTCCATCAAAATACCAAGATATGTGGGAGGTAGTCAATGAACTTTTGTCAAAGTGAATCCTCTACAATGCCCCATGTTCCGAGTAATCTGGTAAATTTTAGGAGTTCTGTTACTCATTGATGGCAGTACCCAGGGTCCTGAACAAGACTAATGCAATTAACAGTGCTTCAAAAAGTTTTTTTTGAGGGTGATGAAAGTGCCAGGTATTATTCCAAGCCTGTTATATATATTAACTCATTTAGTCCTTACAACCATGAGAAAGGTACTTTATCATCCCTGTTTTACCAATGAAGAAGCTGGTAAATCCCCTTGTTCAGTTAACTGGCTAGTAGGTATATGAGGCCAGGTTGAAACTCTTTGAAACTTTGAAACTTTGTTCTAGTCACAACATGCTGAGACTGTTCTAAAGTATTTGCTTTAGAACAGAGATTAATCCCCTTGTTCAGTTAACTGGCTAGTAGGTATATGAGGCCAGGTTGAAACTCAAGCAGGCTGGCTGCAGAGCTCAGACCTGTGGCCACTAAAATATGCTGCCTCTTATTTATACTGTCCATGACTACTATGTGTGTGTCTGCAGAAACTCTGCAAAACCTGCCTCATTGAAACAGTTAATTCTTTGATCACCCATTCAAGTACTGTGTGCAGCAGAAGGGAGGCAGCTGCAGACCACAAGGGCTAACGATTTGGGGCATTATGTCTAGTTAAGTACGTATGAGAGCAATAAGGATGCTGGTCAATTAAAAAGAGTACTATACACGTGAGAGCAGGCAACCTCATCCTAGCTTGGGAGTTCAGAGGGGAAAACTCCCTGAAGGAAGTGATGTTTAAGCTAAAACAGAAGATGAGCAGGAGTTAGCTAGGCAGTGTGGGGGGCAGGGAGAGAAGGATGGATGTCAGAGAAAGGGACTGATCCATGTGGTCATGAGGATGGCCAGAGCAAGTCCTGAAATTTTTCTACAAAGGCTCCGCTCTTTCTGGCCATCCCCCTACCCAAGCTGGTTGACCTGCTGCGCCATAGTACCGAACACCATGTATTCATTCTTTTCTCCCACCAGCCAGCTAGCTGCCCAGGACAAAAAGACAAGGGTTTAGAGGCACAATTTCATGTAGGCACCTCCTAGAATTAAAATTACTTCAGGGATGCCTGCAGTATAGTTAAAAGAAACACCCAAAAGGCCAAAAGAAGCCTACTTTATTGAATTTACAATGCAGAAAATATTTGTAGTTCCTTAGACATTTGCACTGCTATAAAAATTATACTTTATGGTATAATTATTAATGGTTTGAAGAGAAATAAACAGTATAAACGAAATATGACAGATACTAGAAAAATGTAAACTATATAAATCAAAATCATAAAACAATTTTTCAATACTCAGAGGCCTACTTAATATATACATATGAAATTTCTTATACACATATACAATAAAAGCCCACAAAAACCATCACTCTGAAGCCAATCACTGTACAAATATGAAAATAAATCTTTATCTTGAACCTCAATTTTATCTTCAGCAAGAGGGTTGTGCAACTTGGATTTATGCAAATCATTTAGTATTAAATAATCAAATGTCACATATGTCATATAAAGCAGCAAGTGGAAAAAATAAATTATAAAAATGCATGAGGCTAAAAGTTAACAGTAAAAAATGACTTCTTATTCAACATTCTTTTCCCATGATGAAATTAAAATATTATCCGGTGTGTCAGGATACATAAAAGGGGAGCATAGTATAATTGTGATTTTAAAGGCTCTCAAAGGAAAAATTTAGACAAGTTACTTGCATAGAACTATGTAAATGTATCAAATTAAGTCTAAGTTAAAAACATGAAATACAGTCATGTATCACATAAAGACAGACCAAATTCATGGTGGCTCCATAAAATTATAATGGATTATAAGCAAAAAGTTTGTTTGCAATGTTGAAAGAAAAGGCTGGACCCAACTATGATGTCGAGTTTACTGCTAGCTCTGGCTGGTTTAGAGGAAGCTCAGCATATTGCCCCACCCGAGGCCCGCCAATGACCGTGGCCTTGAGTTAGGGAGGGAGAGAGAAGAGGAGGCTGGGGAGGGGAGGCTGCCCACCAGCCTCCATACTCACACACTCCTGCGCACAGGCTCACTTCACCTCATTCATCTTTACTCTGTTTCTTTATCCCTCTTTCCTCCCAGACCAGACCAGAAAAGACAAGTGTCCCTCTCCTTCTCTCTCCCCATCACTTCCTCGTCTCCTTGTATTATTTCCCTTCTCAAGCTTTATCTCTCTAGGTCTCCTTCAATCTCTGCTCACTCTCTCTTTCTTCCTTCCCTCTCTCCCTTCCTCCTCCTGATATCTACTTTTCCTGCAATGACCGATTCCTCCACAGCCCTTCCTCTGCCCCACTAATGCCCCACTTGTGCACAGAAACACTTTACCTTTTATACCTTATTTTTACTATACCTTTTTAATGTTTAGGTGTATTAGATAAACAAATAGTTACCATTGTGTTACAGTAGCCTACAGTATTCAGTATAGTAACATGCTGTTCAGCTTTGTAGCCTGGGATCACTAGGCTATACCATATGACCTAGGTGTGTGGTGGGCTATACCATCTAGTTTGTTAAGTGCACTCTATGATGGTTGCACGATGACGAAATCACCTAATAAAGCATTTCTTAGAACTATGCCTGTCATTAAGCGACACATGACTGTATTTTTGTTCTTAATGGAAATATACTTTAAGAATGCCATGAAATCAAATGTTGGTAATAATCACGATTTCTTAGCAGTGCAGCTGAAAGATCTGTAAGTAGCTTTTCTTTAAACAAGATTACTAGAGCTATATTTTGTTCCCAAAAAATTTATCCAAGTTCGAATAGTTAAAGATGATCGCTTTGTCTATCAAAGGCGCCTATGTAATCTAATGGATTTGGGCATACTGGACATATAATTCAGAAGCAAAGACCAAGATAATACTTCTGCATCAAAGGCATACTCTTATGTACAGATGGTAAGATAAATAGAGACACTTTGGGGAAAATAAATAAAGGCAGTATGATAACATGTATAGTAACATGGTTTTGTGCAATTACACCAAATACCTAAATGTGAGTCCCATATGTCAACACATATGTGTCAGGTCCATTCTAAACCAGGCTCCATAGATGCCACCTAGGCAAACAGCAGTGGCAGAACGTTCATCTCACCATGTCACAAAAATGGCCACCACTCCCTCCTGTTCAGTCCAACAGTTCCCCATAAGCAAGGCATTCTTTCTGGTGAGAATGTAAACTTTTTTTTTTTTCCTGGAACCTAAAAGCATAAAATCGGAAACGGAATCCATGGTGGAGTTGCTATGGATAGCTCCAACCTTCCAACAAAAAAAAACCTAAATGTCATCAATAGAGAGAAGGCACAATAAATGATATCATGACTATTTGTAATCTGTGTGTGTAATCTATCTCATTAATCCTCATTACAACAAAAATGAAGGTTGGAGAATTTAAAGTTTGATGATAAAAATCATAAACAGGAGAAAAATTGCTACAATGAATTGTTTTAATTCATCAAAAAAAGGAATGTTTTTAACTTATGTAAGACAATAAATAACAGCTTATTATTTAAGTTTTCTGGGCAAACTACTTGGGGCCTGAACTTATATGAAGCAAGGTAAATTCAGACCTCCGGTTGGGAATAATTGAATTGGTTCAGACCACTGAAAATCAAAATCCCAAAACCAGGCTTCACTGACCCACCCTAGAGTCAAGTGTTGACTCCTTTGGCTCTTAGAGGTATTTTAGTGGGGAAGTCGGGGAGGCATTGTGGGTTCTAGAAGGAGAGCAAGACCAACCAGGACCTTGGTGAGGATGAGTCACTAGTCACATTCATTGAACAAAAGACTGTGATTCCTTTCCTAATCACGGTTCCTCTTTTAAAGAGATGATTTTCCAAAAACCATACATAACATTTCTTTCATTGTTCATATTTAAGGAAGTGAATGCTGGCAAATAGGGAGTAAAGGGATCTATATTATATTGGATATTATGCTTTTAAACCATGAGGTTTGAAATAAACATGCCTATTTTCGTTTGGCAAAATGTTAAATCATTCTAAGGGCTGATGTAGTTTTTTAATAAGATACAATTCAGAGATCATAAAATTCACCCTTTTAAAGTACACAATTCAGTGGCTTTTAGTATATTCACGAAGTTGTGCAACCATTACCACAAAATAATTCCAGAACATTCTCATCATCCCCAAAAGGTATCATATATCCATCAGCAGTCACTGTCAGTTCCCTCCTTTCCCCAGCCCTGGGCAACTGCTCACTGGTGTACTTTTTTAAGTGAAGAGCAACAACTTTCCTGGGCATTATACTTTCAGAAGTATGTGGCGTTACTATGTTTTCATTAAAATTTTGAACACTGAATTTAAACCAAGGACTTTGTAAGTATTCTGAGATCATAAAATATTCCCTTTTATATACAACTATTTTTGTTACAAAAATGTTTTTTCTTCATACAAATAAATAGATTTTTGTGTCTCCACTGGAGCCTAAAAATTACCATTATTTACTCAATTAAATTCTGCTGTTTCAGAAGTAAGAAAAATCAATACTCCAGTATTTAAAAAGTACATAACCAGAGTCCTTTTTAACCGTGGGCTATGGTGCTCTCCTCACTGCTCAAAAGCGCTACCGAATGTGAGGGCCAAGGCCAGCAAAGCCAAACTGCCTTGTTTTACAGATGAAGAAACAGATCTAACGTGGGCTGTCGACATGCCCAAGACCACAAGGCTAGTTAACAACAAAACTAGGATGATCACCCCCTTTTATTTACTAGGATGATCACCCCCTTTTATTTGTACTCTGTTATTAAATATTTGAAGGCGATGTCATCAGTCATAGGTTATCTACAAAGTCAGTTATCTACCACATGAGTCTAATTATGTGAGTTTCTTCTACAGCTTTGTTCTGAGCATGTGATTATTTTTTTTCAGCACTTAAAAAAAACTTTTACAGGTTATCTTTTAAGACTCTGTAAAGATATGACAAGTGTATTTAATCAGGGGATCCAAATCATTCATGGAAACATAGCAAAGAAGAGCTGAGGTTCCAGAGGGACCGAGAACACAGTTCAGACTTCCCGCACTGTAACTCTCCATGTGACAGTGTCCGTGGGTGGCACCACTGTACGTAAGAAGCAATGAGTCATACAAATTCTGTACTCTGCAAACGAAGACTTCAGAGGCCAAGGATGTTTTTTGCTTTAACCCTTGCAACAATTCTTCATGTGGGTTGACTGTTTGGAACTGCTCCCAGTCAGATTGGTAATGGATTTGCTGTTATCCTCATCAGTTCTTTTTTTCACTTCCCTAGAGAAAGAGAGAGATAGACGTAGAGACAGAGGTAGAGGTAGAGATAGAGAGGGGGATTACTCAGGTACAAAATTAAACCACAAATGGCTCCGTAGGAACAAAAACAGCACTGCTGAGCACTTGCTATGTGCCATCCAGACATTGTTGCAAACGCTTTATAGGTGTTAACTTATTTAATCCTCACAAAAACCATAGGAATTGTTGTGCCCCATTTTATATTTTATATATGAGGAATCCCCTTTAGTCACACAGCTGGAGAAGGGGCAGAGCTGGGATTCAAACCCTGCAGACTGGCTCCAGCACCTGCATTCTGAGCACCAGGCCCTACACTCAGGCATGCATGCAGATGCACATGCACAGGTACATATACACATGTGTACACACATATGTACACAGACTCCTCTTGCTCTCTTCTGTGGTTTCACATGCATTATAGTGTGCCACACGCACAGCTCACTCTTAACAATCTGGATCATGGCTCCCATCCTCAGCCAATGCTTGCTGACATTAACAAAAGCAATGATGACTTTATAAGCATTCTTTAATTATACATGATCCTGAAAGTGACAATGGTTAAAATCCACCAAAAAAAAAACAAACAAACAAACAAAAAAACCTTCCTTTAGCATCTTCCTAAATTTCTTTTAGAATTAACTGTTAGAGGAAACACTAACAAAAAATCTCCATGATCTCAAGTGTCCTTCCAAGTGTAGCCCCTGAGGATGCTTGTGAAATATCAGATCCTGAAGTCTTACTTTAGATAAGCTGAATGACAATCTCTGTGGGTGAGGGGAGTGTGACAGCTAGTTCCCAAGACATCCCCAAACAATTCCACCCTTCCCTGTCAGTGCCTGGTGCTCCCCCAGTAAGAGATAGAGCCCGTGCACCACTCCCTTGGTCAGGACCGGCTCTGTGACTGCTCAGGCCAACGGAACACCATGGAAACGGCATGCTGTGACTCCCCAGCCAGGCGTCAATAAGGCCTGGCCGCTTCGAGCTGCCATTTAAACTGTCCAGGGGGAGAGGCCAGCAGAGGAGCCGTGGGAGATGAGAGAACGCGAGGCAGCGCACCCTGGTGGCAGACGCGAGGCAGTGCACCCTGATGGCAGACGTCCAGCCTGAGATAGCCCAGCGGCCATCTGACTGCAAACGTGGGAGACACCGAGGAACCTTCCAACAGAGTGAAGCCAATTCTGGTCATCTCAAAAAATACAAAGGGGCTATTGTTTTAGGCAACTAAGTTTTGGGGTGCTGTGTTCCAGAGCAGTAGACGAATGAAACTGTTTATAGAGTGGTAGATACGGCAATCAGCAAGTTCTCACTACAGCAATGCTGCTCAATGGCAATAAAATGTAACCCACATATGTAATTTAAAATTTTTCAGGAGCTACACTAAAAAAATGTAATGAGAAAGAGGTGAAATTTATTTTAATATATTTAACTCAGTAGAATGAAAATATCATTTCAGCATGTTATCAATAAAAATATTAATGAGATACATTACAATTTTTATAGTATTTAATATATACGGCACATCTCAATTTGGATTAGCCATACTTCAGGTGGCCAGTGGCTACCAATTTGGTCAGCACAGCTCCTGAAGGTGCTGATAGGTGTTAACTTTTGAAAACCACTGCACTGTGAGTAGGAAAAAAAGAGAAAATAATTCTTACTGAAGGCCAGCTAATAAACACTACGCTACACGTTTTCATATTTTTCTTATTTAATACACACCACAACACACACACACACACACACCCATGACAGGTGACAAGTGACAGGCAGCATTATTACCCTCACTTCACAGATGAGGAAACAGTCAGGAAAAAAAAAAAGAAACACAATTCAGTCCCTAAGACCCTGTAAGACTCATTTCAGACTTCTGACCTCCAGAACTGTAAGATATATTTTCACTGCTTAAACTACTAGGTTAGTGGGAATTTGTTACAGCGACAACATAAGACTAATACAACTTGCAGTTGCAAAATCTCCATCATTTGGTCATTCAACAAATATCCAATTTATGCCCAGCTCTGGGATCCTCAATTAGTGAGCTCTGAGGCAGAGTCAGGAGTCTAAATAAATCATTACCAGGTCCCGAGAGAGCAGCTACCACACACGCACAGTGTGCTGCAGGAACACAGAGGGTGCACCGCAGTGTGCTAGGTGCAGGGAAGGCAGGCCTCATGGAGATGGTGCTTCATGGACACTTCGAAAGCAGAGTGACCTCTTGCTAGAATAGGAATTCACCTTCAGTTAATGAGGAAAGGACATTCCAGGTGCAGGGAATAGCATGCACAAAGGCAAAGAGGCACAGAAGAGCTGGGCCACCACTGGAAACAAAGTTTGCTACGTCTATAGATTATCATTGGTTTGGGAGGCAAGGTAAGAGATAAAGTCAGAACGGTAGGTCAGGTCAGGCTACGAGAGACTAAGCCACGTGCTAAGGAGCTCACACTCTATGCTGTAGGTAGGACACCAGTGTGGGGGGTGTAAGCAAGAGAGTAAGTATTAATTGCATTTTTATTTTTAAAAATTACCCTGATTACAGGGTAGAGGATAATCTGATGTTGGAGAAATGCTGAAGCAGAAACTTAGGTGCCTCCTGCAAAGGCAGGAAATTCCCACACAATAAATTCTCAAGCCTGAAGCAAAGCAGAGGGAGAGAAGGGAGAGGTAAGAAAAGAGGGAGGAGATGGAAGAGAGAGAAAAGAGGAGAGAAAGGGAGAAGAGAGAGAATGAGAGAGAGAGGGAGGGAAGGAAAATGACTGAAAATATGAACAAATGAAAATATGGACAGATTCAGGACAGACTACAGAGAGGTCACTGAATGAACAGAGCCCCAGAACTCACTAGAGGTAGATGATGAAGGAAGATTGGGAGGAGTCAAGATTGACTCCAATTTACCATTTTTAATTATAATTTTGGTAGTTTCCTGAGAAGGGGAATATAGAATGAGAAATGACTTTAAAGAAAACTTAATACCTTAGAATATGTTGGGTCAGTTATGCCTACAGAATTTCCAGTTGTTGGGTAGGGATATGGTTATAGAATCAAAAAGAGGTGGGGGTTGAAAATATACAAATTGGAAGTCACCAGCTAGAAACAGTTCCAGAAACCATGAGGATGGAAGATATTAGGCAGAAAGAGAGTAAAGAGGAAGAGAGTGCAGAATGAAATCCTAAAATTATCAACATTTAAATAGCAATCCAATGATTCAGATTAATAGTGACAAGTCCCAATTTTGCCACTTAGTAGCTGTGTCACTTTGAGTAAGGTGATTAATCACTCTAATTCTCAATTTTCTTATCTATACAATGGGTATAATAAACACAGCATCCTCATAAGGCAAATGACATCTCTCCCTTCTGGGAGGTCCAGTGGCCTCTCTCAGCTACATATTATATGGCTGCCTGGTCATACGCTTTTCTTTTTTATTTTTTCTCTAACATTAAATTGCACAGCCTGTCTCACATTCCCTTGATATCTCTATTGAACCATGTGCAGGGCTTTCTTATGCTGAGTGCTCATTATAATACATGCATTATTGAACCTGAAAGCAAATAAGGGAGCAAAATAGGTATCCACATCATTCATCTGGCCTTCAGTTTCTTTAATCCACCAAAAATGTAGGCATGTCTCTTTTAAGGAAATTAGAAAGATATAATCCCAAACATCTAAAACAGGTTTAAGGTTGGGAAAATTAAATTATCTCACCAAAAACTACCATTTGCTTAACAACTACATTTTAAATGACTCAATCTTAGGAAAAGATTTTCGCCCAAAGGGCTCAGTAATTGCACCAGACTGATAACATCAGCCTGAGCTTTCTACATTTTTCTCAAATTTCAGGCCATTGAGCAATTGAAATGGCTGTTGAATTTGAATCAATGGCAAAATGTTAAAGCCTGTGGTTCTGGAGATGGCAAATTCACTTACCAATGGACAATGGTTGTGATGAATGGCCTACCAGCACTATAGGGAAATTGCATTTCTAAGAAAAACTTTTCCTGGGATTGAGAGGTTTTCCAAGAAAAAGCTGAGTAGTTCAGGTGGTTACGCAAACATTTACGGCCTCCCTTCAAAAATGAATCCTTCAGACAGTGCATATCCATAAACCCATCTAGTTCAAGTTTTATGATATGACATGGTGTGAAAGGAACTGTGTTGGGAATTATCTATCTTACAAGCTCTAAATCAAGAACTTACATGTTTTGCATTACCTGTGGAGACTATACTGTTTCCTTTTAAGACTTAGGTACTTTGACAAGTAAATCAGGAGGCAGAGTATAAAGCAAACTGAAGTTTTTATATATTTGCTTTCTTTATAATTTTCATATTTAACAAACTGCTAACATGACTAGAGACCTCAAACCGGCCATAATGCAGTAACAACAATAAAAAAATAAATAAAAAATAAAATAAAAACGACTTCTTGACTTCTTAATAAATGATTCACAAGAAGTGCCCTCGTTATCAAAATGCCTGTGCACACAAGTGTTTTATGTAAACAAACCCAGGCCTGGTGGAAGCTCCACCATATAAACAGGGCTGCTGCTTGGCTGACTCAATACACTGGCAGGAGCAGATGGGGACAGGAGGCTTACAGCCTCTCCCATCTTTATGATATAATAAAGAAAATCGATTCTGCACTCTGGGTGTGACCATGGCAATATGGAGTCATTTAACTTTAACATGACTCCACAAGACAAGTCAGCATTAAATAACTATTACGTTATTCAGTGGAGTACAGGCTGTTACAGAGAACCACACTTTCAGAGCTAGAAAGGGCGTTAGAGATCACTGTTCAGCCTCCTCTGTTATTTTACAGTTTAGAGATGCCTAAAGGAAGACAGGGACTTGTTCAAGACTTCGCAGCTATTCAGGGGTAGATTTAAGGTTCGACTTTGAGCCTCCTGATACCACAATCCTTCAACACCTTGGGCAGCAGCCAACAGCCACACAGAGGGCCTGACCTGCAGCATCCTTTCCTGCTCAGATGGAGCAGCAATTCAGCACTGCACTGCCCACGGCAGCCCTGAGCTCCTGTCCAGCCTTGGGACCAACGATGCTCTAAAGACCTGCAGATCCTTCCCACACCCATGTACCTCACCAGGCACATCATTCCCATCCAGGAAGTCTCATGTACATTGGAATGAAACACCCACACAACCATCTGAAAACAGTGAACACACTGACCAATTCAGCAATTACTCCATCTTCAGTCCACTTCGTTGAAACTCCCCGCTTCCCCATTTACTGAATGTATCTTGTTTGACCAAAATGGCTGTGCACCCACAGGTGTATGGAACCCATTATTTTACCTAATCTATGAAGGTTTTATTTTGGCTCTTATTTGACAAATGTGATATTAGCCCACAATTATTCTACTAATCACAAGCAAAAATTATGTAATTCACTTGAATTTATACATGTTTAAATGTTTGCTTTATTTTATTTATTTATTTTTTTACCTGTTTTAGGTCATACTCAAAGTTAGCACTGTTTTTGCTCTAAACAAAAATGATTTCCAGTGTGGTAGTGGGAGGTGGCTCTCTCTCTTGGACGGATGTCAAAGGAGGTAATGTTCAACAACTCTGATTTTAAGCTCAAGGCATCCTCCAAGGCCTGCCACAAACTAATGCCACACAGGCCACCTAAGGTTCTGGGGCCCATTCCCTGATTCTCTCAAGTGAGAGCCACAGTCTCTGCCAAGGCCCCAGTCCACGCCTTCGATTAACAGAATTCTATTCTAATAAGCACTATAAACATCAAGTTAGTTAATAGAAAAGCAGCATTTAAAACACTGCAAAGTATTTTAACTGTCAACGTATACTAGCAGAAGAGGCCAATTATCGTACTCAAGTTAAGATTCTTGTAAAACCTCACAAGTGATGAGGAAAAGCACTATATTATGTCTAAGCACTATGCCTAAAATTACGTCTTTGCTTTGTCAGCAATTAAAGATCATTGGCAACATACATATTTTTATTCTTCTTTATTTTTCTTTTTTTGGATATTTAATCCTGTTAGGCCAATAATAAATCATCTTTTCATTTGTGGCAGAAAACCAGGCAGAATAGATTAAGTCTAATAGATAATGTTGTTATTTCCTAAGAATACTCTAAGGATTAAAACACATTTATATCCAAACTCCTCAATGATGCAATTTCTTATTCTGATCTACATCCCGAAATGTTATTTATTATTAACACCATTGCTTTGGCTTAATGATTATCTGGGTAATAATTTTAACAAAGTGCTTCCAACTGGCATGACACATAATTTTACTGATGTTTTATTTCCTTTACCCTGGAAAATGTCGTAATAGTTATATTCATAATAGTCTCTTGTATTTAAAATCTCATTCCTGGAAATGATTCAAATAAGTTAACTATTAGCTTTGTGGTGACATTTTCCAGAAAGGTCAGCACTACCTTGGGTACACCTGCTTTGTTCTGGCAGTAAAAGTATTTTGCCCATGTTTACAGTGAACAAGCAGCAGTATCGGTTTTTATAAAATCCATGTTTGTTTCTCTAACCACTACTGAAAGACAAGACAGTGTTTTCCAATGTATATTCATGTGATGGTCAAGAAATTTGACATATGCAGCAACTAAGTGAAAATTCAACCCTACTTCCAGTTTTCCAAATATGAGACAAACTTTACCGGGCAAGATGGAGAACAGCTTCCACTATATTTGAACCGTCTTTGGCACTTGTTTCACAGAATAATGCCCCGTAGGTCTGCAGAAAGAAATAGACACCACTAAATAACACTTCCTGAAATTTTAGCTTATAAATCAACAAAATAAAAATATTTCCATTAGGAAAGAACTGTGCGTGCTGCAGGCCTGGGTGTAGGTTACACGGTCGTGCATAAGATACAGAAAAGATGTGATGGCTGCTCTAGAGCAGGAAGAAAGAGAGAAACCAAACAGTAGGGAAGGAATCCGCAGTGGGACCTTTACCCACAAGTCCCCAAATCCATAAAAAATCTCTAAAAACCATAAAATGAAAACGAGTAGTGCTACTACTGAGTTCTACAGCCAGATGTTATAAGGTGAAATAGAGAGTATCTTTGAGGATGCATAAGTGGTGAGATGCATAAATAAGTAACCCTGGGAAATGCTAAGAAATTGTGGGGAGGGAAAAAAACTGGCATGTGTCCAGGAATTATGAATCTCTAGGGGCACATGCGGGACAGAGTCTGACATGCGGATTACATGTGTTTAACGTCTATGTCCCCCGGACAATAAACTACATGAGGATAAGGACTATCTATTTTGTTCCCTACTCTTTGCTCAGCACACAATGAAGTACTTGTCACATGGTAGAGACAATTAAATATGTGTTGAATGAATCTTTTCTGTATTCATTGCCTAGTTTTTATGCTTACTATATTTGGTTCACAGTTCTGAATTTAAAATGAGAGAGATTTCCTAACTTAACATAGTGAAATTCAAACTTCTGTTTAAAGTTTGCATGTATATTCTACATAGAAGTCCTTTCATGGTGCTGATGATAGACAACAATGACAGCAACGTTAAATCAGACTGTTATGGTATGGACTTCTTGGCTGACTCAAGATAAATCTGATTCCATATAGGGCAGGACAAGTCAGAAGAGGGTCGCATAGCACTCTGACACAGTGATCATAACAGGAGGGTAAACACTGCCCACAATAGTATTCTAT